TGCTGAGCCACCAGGAGGCCCGCTGACTCAGAGGCTTGGAGTTTTGAGGCTGCAGGCTCGGCACTTTCCTTAACAGAAATGACACATGGATGACCTCTATTGGTCAAAGGCAGAAACTGCAAATGAACACTCATTGACTGACAAAATCCCTGCTATCTGCCAGGCACTTCACATGTATTATGTCATTTGTCTTACAGTTGTCCCTCAGGATCCCTGGAGGATTGGCTCCATGACCCCTTTCTATAAAATGTCATAGTGTTTGCCTTACCTTTTATACGTCCTCTCCTAAATTTTAAACCATCTTTAGATTATTTTTAATACCTAATACTGTGTAAATGCTACGTAGACAGTAGCTGTGCTCTACAGTCTAGGAAATACGGGCAAGATAAAAGGTCTGTGTATGTTCAGCAGAGATGAAATCATTGTAGACCTAACTACATAGTAGTACTTTCAACCCACTGTTGGTTGAATCTGCACAGTTAGAAGTTGCAAATATGGAGGGCTATGTATCTACAAGGTGGGCTCTATCACTCTCATTCACTCTCATTTTATGTTGGAAAAAAAAGAGGATTCAGACGCCTAGGTCTTCACTGTGTGAGTGGCGTTGCTGAGATCCAAGCCAGGTCTGTCTGAATCCATACGTTTGCTCTGTCCACTAATCCCCTGCAATTCAAAGTGTGGTCTGAGAACCAGAGCAAGGGCACACGGGGACCCACTGAATCAGAATCTGTACCCTAAAGGGATAAAAATTTTGTATGTACATTTCAGTTGAAGAAAGGCAAACCCTGATGGGGGTAGGTAGATGGGGTGGGGGAGGGGGTTGACCCGGTTTGTGAGTCATCACCGGGCACTTCATATAGGATAAAGGCCTCCCTGGTGGTGTAGAGGATAAGTCTCAGCACGATCACCTCTACCACCTGAGTTTGATCAGGGCACAGCAGACCTATTCTGTCTCTCCCGCTGCTCCCCTCAGCAGCGTATTTCAGTAGATCCGCCTGTTCTGCTCCCTACTCTGTCTCTAGTGAATCCTCTCAAACTCCTCCCACCCCTGCACTTCTGGCCTATACCTATTCTTGTATGCATAAATAAAAATAAATCTTAAAAAAATGGGACAAAACCCAAAAGCAGATTTACATTAGGAGTGAGGAAAAGGGAGGCCTAAGGGAGAAAAGAAGAAAATTTACTGGCTGGCATGTGTTCATCAGCTGAACAGAAACTGGGGTGCACGTGGAAACCAAGAAAGAGCCTAGCTGACCTGTGTTGAGTAATTTAAGGTCCACATTGTGACTCTGCTGCAGCTCTAGTTCCCAGAAGCCCCCATTCAGGGAGTCAGAAAGCACCACCTTTTACCAGCGAGTAGGCTGTGAGTGCCCTGGGTACCACCCAGTGGCACAGAGGTTGCATGCACCTCACTCTTACAGAAGCACAGACTCTTGGGAAGGGTTGGAGACTCCCCTGCCTATGTGCTGTGGAGAGACTGAGTTTTCTCCCTTTGTAAATGAGAATTTCTGGACACAAAGTACTTTTTATTTTTAATGTATTCTTTACATCAGCTCTCCTCTGTGAAGTAAATAACAGTAGTGATTGTCATCCTTAACTCAGTTTTAGAAACAAAAGCCCAGAGAGTTGAAACAAGTTGCCCAGACCCCCTAGTTAGCCGCCTGCAACTGCTTGATGTGGCCTGGCTGGGAGAGTGACCAGGGGTTCCCAGCATGCGGGTCGCAGATTCCTGTGCCTGCCTTTTGGGGTCAGAAATCACCAGGCTGGCCCAAAGGGAGCCTTCTGCACACTTTTATTCATGCATGCATAGAAGGAATGTTCTGGCTTTAATTTTACTTCTTGTGCATCTCTGGGCAAAGTAGTTCACCTCTCAGCTTTGCTTCTTCACAGTTGTGAGAATCAAGTGAGGATGATGCAAGTGCTGCATAAGACAGGAGTTCAACGAACATTAGGTGACACCCACCCATTCAATAACTACTGAACCCTGCTTATCATATGCCAGGTACTGGGCTAAGAAACCTGATGGACGAGGTGGATGTGGCCCTGCTCCTGTGGCGCTTACAGTGTAACGGGGGAGACACACTGATCAAGTACTTGTGAGTATGGTGAGCAACAGACAGACAGGGCAGGAGTTAAAATGGATGCATTTGGCTTTCGCAAAGAAGTAGCCTTTTCTTCCCTCTGTTCAGAAAGTGAAACCAAACCTCAAGTTTAGTTCTCTAGATAGGTGTGAACATGGCTCAAAGCTGTCCTATCTTCCTAGCCCTTTGGTAGTGTTTTGTCCTTGATAGAGTCCCCAACGCCACCAGAGAGGATTCTGGAAGAGGGAGGAGTGGGGTGGAAGATGAGCTGGTTGGACTTTACTCCAAGGACCAGGGAGAGCCACTAAATATCATCTTAGAATGTTTTAGTCTTAACTTGTGAGGTATCCCCCAAATCCAGTTGCCCTCCCACACCCAGGCAATGTTCCCCCTACAATGGCCACACTTTAGTGTCTCAACCAACCATGTTCCTCCCTCCACAGGGCCTTTGCACATGCAAGTCTCATGAACTGAAAAGGTCTCCCTGCCTCTCTTTACTCAGGAGGTCTCCCCCTCTTTATCACTCAGGGGTTAGCTCAAATGTCATTTGCTCCAGGAAGACTTCCTTGACTCCTCAGACAAGCTCTAGGTTCTCCAACAACATTTATGTTTTCCTTTCCTGTCACTGACACAATTTGCAAGTAAAGTCATATGTTGCTTAACCACAGATTCAAAGAAATGTAAGATGATTTTATCATTGTGTGAACGTCACAGAAGGTACTTAAACGTAGATGGTCTAGCCTACTGCATACCTAAGGATATACATGGACCTCCTTAGTGTACATGGCCCATCATTGATCAAAGCATCATTCTGCAGTGCATGCTTTAAATATTCCTGTGACCTCTTGCTTAGCAATAGACCCAGAGACTCAGCAGACCCAGAACAAAGCTGGTGTTTGTTTTACTGAGTATCTTCTCACCAGGATTCTGCACGGTGATTTACTCCTCCACTGGGACACCAGGGTTGCACACACATGCCTCTGACATGATGGGGATGTTGATGCTCAGGTGTTTAACTCATCCCCAAATATAAGGCCAGGGAGGGACAGGCAGCAGGACAAGAGACAGAGACAAATTCCCAAGTCAGCAGAGAAAGGCTGATGGGATGTGGGAAGAGAAGGGAGCTGTCAAGAACCACTTACAGTTTCAGGTGTGGGAAGAAGAGTGTGGTAGTGCCCATTCCTGAGATGGGGGTCACAGGTGGTGAAGCTTAAAGGGCTTGCTACACACCCTGCCTTTGCAGCCCATTGTCCTCCCATCAGTGGCCTGGACTGTGTCCCAGCACCAAACACAGGTCTCATGGCTCAGCAGCACAAGCCCCTTTTTATTAACCATCCTCCCTGGTTTGAATGTGCATGGTTAGAACAGGAACAGAAGAAGAGCCTGGCAGGGAGGGGAGGGTGTGGGCTCCTGAGGTTAGGCCAAGAGGCTGGATTCCTGCTTCTCCTGACTGGTTCTTTGTGATGACCCTTTAAATGTCCCCTACTCCCACTAACCAAGTTAGAGGCTGTGCAGCCCAGCTGCTTACTGTGCTGTCCTGACCGTGTCAGGGATGGGTACTGGCGGGGTCTGGTGCTGGGCAGCAGGTTGCAAGACAACAGCAGGGTTGAGAGGAAAGGTGCGTCACCCAGTCTGGGGACTGAGCAGACGCCTATCCAGTCTCCGCTGCTTTGATTTCACTGCCTTAGGTGGTGCGCTGCTGGGCAGGGAGGGGAATACAGGTCTTGGGCAGCTGCCAAGGTCGGGCCTGGTGGAACTGAGGACGTTGACAACAGAAACTTTGGTACCCCTTCACCTTCACACTTCGGCGAGCAGGAGACTAAGCTATGTGGAAAATGGGTGGGGGTGAAAAAGGGATGGGGGTGTGCAGGAGATCCAGGTTGCATGACTACACTCATATGTTGCCCCATCAGTGGGCGTTCAGCTGTCTTTCTGCTCTCTGGAGAAGCAGTGGTGCTGAGGATGGATGGATGGGGAAGGGGGAAGAAGCACACAGGGCAGAGAAGCAATCACTGAAAAAGAAGGTCTCAGAGATTCCCCTTGATCCTGACCCAGCCTGCATCGGTCTGAAAGGTTCCCACAATCTTTTCCATCATCCACTCTGTGCCTCTAAAAAGAAAGACCCATCTGGACTCTGAGCAAGGAAAGCAAACTCCCCCTGTGGGGGGCCTAACGGAGGAGTACTCAGCACCGTGGCACGGGCGGCCCTGGTCCCTGGCTCAGAGCCAGGCTGGCACCGCCTGTAAACATTAGACTTGGTGATGTCCAGGGATGGAGGAGGAGAGAGCTACCTGGACCATCAGGTTTGCAGGAAGAGACAGGGTGAGGCCCTGAAAGGCTGAGGAAATGCCAAGTAGCCACAGAAAGAGGGGTATCAGGCTCACTGTGGTCCAGGAGGGAGTGGACAAGGCATGACTCTGCCTCTGTGCATCCACGTGACTTCAGTGTTTCCTTTGGATGTTGCCAGACAGGTCCCAGACGAACACTGCCAGCTGGGCTGCTCACGGACTCGAGCAGCTCTGGGTCCCAGGGTAATGAGTACAGTCCCTAATCAGGAGAGGCCACACGGGAGGACAGTGGCCTTTTACCCACAATCTTTCTCCAGAGGGAAGTCAGGCTGGGTTCCTCCTTCTGAGACTGGCTGATCCCTTCATCTATGGATTCCAGGCATGGAGATGTGGTGAGCTGGCGCGGTGGGTAGTGTAGTCTCCTCTGCAACATGAGACCTCCTCCCACCATCCTCGGCACTGCCAGGGCAGGGGATCAGCTAGGAGGGTGGGTCTGAGCTGTCTAGGTGTGGGGGTCTGATTTGGCCCCAAAATTATCCCTGGAAGAGGATGTCCAGATGTCATCCCATCAGCAGAGGGGAATGATGCTAGACTTTGGATGGTCCCACAGCTCTATGTGACAAGTTCCTGCAGCCGATGGTCAACGTGTGTTCCCTGGGAACTGGTGGTTATGCCAAGAGATCCACAAAGATGGCATTGGCTGTGGTCTGCCCGAAGATGAAGGCTCCCAGGGTGACCAAGAGGACTCCGTAACTGACCAGTGCCCACCAGCTGCAGGGCAGAGGGAGAGAGCAGCCTGGTCATTCAACCCACCATGACTCTGCAGACTTCATATGTATGTATACACACACACACAAGCACATACACATAAAGCTGACCCTTGAACAATGTCAAGGTTGCGGTGCTAACCCTTCACACAAAAATCCATGTAGGAACCTCCCTGGTGATGCAGGGGTTAGGTCTCAGCATGATGAAGCTGTTGCTAGCCACTCCTTGGCCTGTGGCCAGCCAAGGAGCTAACCACATGGTGCAGGAGGCCTCTCATGACTTGCCCGCTGCTCCCCTCAGCAGTGTATTTCAGTAGATCCTCCTGTTCTGCTCCCCACTCTGTCTCTGATGAATCCTCTCATGCCTCCCCCACCCCCTGCATCTCTGGCCTACACCCCAGATTGTTTATGAATAAATAATTTTTTTTTTTTTTTAAAGATTTATTTATTGATTGATTGATACATACATACAAGCACTGGGTACAGTCAGAAGTGTGGGAGGGCGAGAGAATTCACCAGAGCCAGAGCGGAGAGCAGAGCAGGCAGAAGGACCGAAGTACACTGCTGAGGGGAGCAGCGGGCGGCAGGAGAGGTCTGCACGCCATGTGGGACCCTCCTCCAGTGGCCGGGGAGCAGCCGGGGACCGAACCGGCGCAGCAGAGGCCGCGGGCAGCCTCGCAACCCAGCGCTCAACCGCTGCGCCACCGGGGAGGCCCAGAATAAATAAATTTTTAAAAAAATCCACGTAGACATTATAGCCAACCCTCTGTATACACAGGTCCTGTATCCCCCTTCATAGTCAACCTACTAACACCTGTAGTTGGCTGAATCTGTGATGTGAACCCCTTGGATAGAGAAACATCTGAGCATAAGTGGAGCTGTGTTGTTCAAAGGTCAACTATATGCCAGTTAATTACTGTAATTACTTAAACCACTTCTATGGGTAGAGTACTTTGTACTTCTCAAGGACTTTGCATACAAAGGTATGTGGGGCCAGATACATGAGCCCCCGTCCATGGGGAAGGAGACCAAGACCAAATGGGATTAAATGACTAGTCACAGCAAGACCAGGACAGGATCAGGATTAAAATGCAGGTCTCTTGGGCCTCCCTGGTGGTGCAGCGGGTTGAGCGCAGTGCCTTGAAGCTGTCTGCAGCCTCTGCAGCGTGGCTTCTATTCCCTGCTGGCCAGGGAGATTCCCACATGGCACAGCAGACCTCTCCTGTCTCACCCAGCAGTGTATTTCGGTCCATCTGCCTGTTCTGTTCCCCACTCTGTCTCTGGTGAATCCTCTCACCCTCCTGCGCCTCTGGCCTGTACCCCAGTTCGTGTATAAAAATAAATAAATCTTTAAAAAAAATGCAGGTCTCTTGACATTGGAAAGAGAGTCAAGACTGTGGGTCACATGTTTTTTTCATTAAAAAAAAAAAAACAACCCACAGATATCTGCAAATATATGCATCAAAAGTAGTAACAATTATAGGTGGGTATTGGGATTGAGGTGAATTTATTCCTTAGACTTGCCTATCTCTTTTAAGTTTTCACTAATGAATGAATATTACTCACACAATACTTTATGCAACCTTTTCTCAACCTCTCTACTATTCAGGGAACTATGCATATTTAAACAAGCTTTCCATCCATCAGGGTGATGGAGCTACAGAGCTGGCATGGGTATGGGAAGAGGGCACTTACTGCTGCTGGCACCACCTTTTTGGAGGGTACTTTGAACCCTTGTGCCTATATAAAACAGAGCATGTGTTGTGCTCCAGAAACTCCCTTTTAAGAATTGAGCATACCAGATTCTTGAGCAGGAGTGCTAAGAGGTATATGTGCAAGCGTGTTCACACATTTTGTGTTCATACCACAAAATACTCAGTAAGCATAAAAAAAAGAAGTATATCTTCTTGTTCTGACATAGAGTGCTCCCTAAAACATACTGTACAATGGAAAAAAAAAAAGTAAGTGGCAGAAGAATGTGTCTGGCATAAAACCATTTATCATTTTTTAAAAAAGAAACTAGTAAAATCCCACAAGTCTGTGTATACGTGGGCATAGTGTGCATAGACACAAACTTGCACTGACATGGAGCCTGGGAACATGGTGGGGAGGCCTCTGGGAAAAGAGGGAGTTCCACTTTGTTCTCTAAAGTCCTTCAGTTCTTCAGGTGGAAGCATTAAAACTAGCATGTGTTACCCGTTAAAAGTATGCAAGTCATGGGCCTCCCTGGTGGAGCAGCGGTTGAGCGCTGGGTTGCGAAGCTGCCCGCAGCCTCTGTGACGCCGGTTCGATCCCCAGCCGCAGCGCAAGAGTCCCACATGGCGTGCAGACCTCTCCTGCCGCCCGCTGCAATGTACTTCGTCAGTCTGCCTGTTCTGCTCTCCGCTCTGGCTCTGGTGAATTCTCTCACCCTCCCGCACTTCTGACTGTACCCAGTGCTTATATAAATAAATTAATTAATCTTTAAAATAAATAAATAAAAATAAAAGTACGCAAGTCTCCTGACCCTCACTCCTGACCCCTCCCCCCTGCATTCAGTAGCACCCCAAGAGGACCATGGGACAGTTCCTACTTTACCTGGCTGGTTTGACTTCCTCCATCTCTGAGAGTTTGGCTTGAATGAGGCACAGCCCTGGAAGAGAAGAAGTGGCCCCCGAGAGAGTTTGGGTGGGCTCCCTGCCTCATGCCCAGCCTCCCTCCTTAGCAAGAGGCAGTGTGATGGAGAAAGGCCTAAGTTAACTCTTCCAGATGTTTTATTCCCCCCTACTCCACACCTGACTAGAGGACTGGTACCTGCTCTCCCAGGAGAGACCATTGTCTGACAGGCACCACTTGGGGTGCACAGAAAAATCAGAGCTAAAGGGGCAATATTGGAAGGTGACTCAGTGGTGCCCACATCCCAGGGCCCTTTCTACTGCACTTTTTTTTTTTTTAAGATTTTATTTAGGGCCTCCCCTGGTGGCGCAGCGGTTGAGCGCTGGGCTGCGAGGCTGCCCGCAGCCTCTGCAGCGCCGTTTAGATCCCGGGCCGCAGGTGAGGGTCCCACATGGTGCGCAGACCTCTCCTGCTGCCCGCTGCTCCCCTCAGCAGTGTACTTCGGTCCTTCTGCCTGCTCTGCTCCCCGCTCTGGCTCTGGTGAATTCTCTCACCCTCCTGCGCTTCTGACTGTACCCAGTGCTTGTATAAATAAATAAATATTTATAAAAAAAAGATTTTATTTATTTATGCATACAAGAACTGGGGGGTAGGCCAGAGGTGCACACGGGGAGTGAGAGGATTCACCAGAGACAGAGTGGGTAACAGAACAGGCAGACTGACTGAAATACACTGCTGAGGGGAGCAGCAGGCGAGGCAGGAGAGGTGTGCTGTGCCACATGGGCCAGCTCCCTGAAGGGGGATCAAACTTGTACTGCAGTGGCTGGGGATTGCTTCATAGTACTGAGACTTAACCCCTGTGCCACCAGGGAGTCCATTCCCACTGCAATTTTTTTTTTAGCATAACTGAAAATTTATTATAAATATAACCATAAGCAGACTTGAATCACCAAATAATTATTTAATGTTAGAGTCATGAATCCAGAAGTGTGGTCACAGTTATCAGGCTCATTAACTTTACTTTTTTCAGATCTAATTATCAAATTTATAGATTATTTTACTTTTCCTTCCATTTCACTGCTGACTAGCTTTTAGCAGAGAATGGGAAGGTATTCAGAATATTATTAACTCTGGCAAAATGTTTGGTGAAGAACCTTTAATTAACTGGTTTGAGGTCTATCCTGTTTGGTTTATTATAGCTATCTGTATTTCTGACACCGCAGGTTACTAAAATGCACTTTTAAACAGACATGGTTCCCTGTTCCATGCAAAGTGACAAGGGCTTTCATCTCCTGGATAGAAGCAAGCTCAGCATAGGCAGAACTCATGCTGGGCAGACAGGACAATTTTCCAGGGATCTGGCAGAAGACTTGTGCCTGAAACTCAGGTCTCCCAGCTTCTGCATTACGGTGCTGTTACCACTCCCCACTGCTATAATGGGCTGAACCAACCAGATCCCTGGTAGTCAAGCAGCAAGAGACATGATCAGCCCTTCAGAGCCAATATTTCCCGTGCAGAGCAGTTTGTTCTGTGTTCAACCAACTGTGGACTGAAAGTACATACTGGGGCCTCCCTGGTGCCACAGGGGTTAAAGTCTCAGTGCTATTAAGCTATTGCCAGTCACTGTGGCATGAGTTCGATCCCCAGACGGCCAGGGAGCAACCTACATGGCGCAGCAGACCTCTCCTGCCTCGCCTGCTGCTCCCCTCAGCAGTGTATTTCAGAAGATCTGCCTGTTCTGCTCCCCACTCTCTCTGGTGAATCCTCTTACCCCCCCACACCTCTGGCCTGTACCCCAGTACTTACATGCATAAATAAATAAATCTCAAAAAAAAAAAAGAAGTATAAATTGTGGACCTAGACAGATTTGGGTTTGAAAAGGTCCTATCACTCATTAATTGAATTGTTAGCCTCTATGCAAGTTTGTTATCCAATCTGTACCTCACATCTCATTAGTAAAATGGACATAATAATTATACTTTCTTTTTGGAATCCAATGCTTAGACAGCACATGGCCCGCGAGAGGGATCAATAAATGCTGGTGGTTATTCTCCCCAACAGGTGAGCGAGTGAGCTGCTGAGGCCAGGGAGAGCCAGGGGTGCAGACCTGGGAAGACGAAGATGAAGCAGGCGGCCAGGCCTCCGATGACTGAGATGACCTTGCCAATGTCAGGGATGAAGAGTGCCAGCAGCAGGGTGAGCAGGAACCAGACCAGCGTCTGCAGCATGCGCCGCCGCCTCTCCCGCCCCACGTCCTCCTCCACTGGCATCCCCTGGTAGCGTAGCCACAGGCCTTCGACCACCGCCCTGTCCACACAAAAAGGGGCTCAGAGATGCCCCTGATAACTGCCTCCCACCTCCAGGTCACAGAGTCAGACTCCAGTCTGGGTAGATTGTGGGTGGGTCAGGTCTTATCCCCAAGCCTCTGTTTCCTCTTCTGTAAAATGGACCTAGCAGCACTGTTCTGAGGTTGCCATGGAAAGCAGATGAGATGGGGAATGCTTGGCCCAGGATGTGCTCACCGCGTGGGAACTGATATTCTTAAACAACAACTAAAGAGCAAGCATCTAGGGTACCCAGAAGGCTGGGGATTCAGGAAAGAACTGGACTGGAGATTTTTCGAGGGGACCCTGTGACAAAGGGGAGCCCGAAGACCCAGCTGGGGCACTAGCAGGCTCATTCTAGGTACTGATTTTTTCCTACAGGCTTTAATTTCTCCCAAAAAATGGGTTGCACACAGGACCCAAGCACCAGAGGGCTTTGGGGGCCTCAGGGGTCCTGGTTGGAGGGAGCTCCGCAGTGGGGTGAGGAAGGGGCTCACCGCCCACAGAAGTGCAGGATGGGGTAGGAGGTGAGCACACTCAGGATGATGAAGGCTCGGGCAACGGCCACCGCTATGTCCTCCGAGGGGTAAGACAGGAGCACGTCGGGGTCCACAGCAGCTCCAAAGGTCAGGAAGCCACAGATGCCTGGGGGCAGGGACAAGTGGGCTGGGCTGGGGCACCCCTGGGAGGGAACAGCGGCTGGAGCATTGGAGCAGCTATGGAGGCTCAGAGGCGGGTAGGGGCTGGGATCAGAAGCCTCCTCCCCGTCTTCAAGTTCCCTGTCCTGGTGCTGCCATCTTCCTGACCCCGAACTCCCCCTGCAGGTGCCTGCAGAGCTTCTGCTCTATGTTCTGTCATCATTCACGCTGCCACCTCCTATCAGGCCTCAGCACAGATGTCCTTTTCCTCAGAGAAGGTGTCCCAACAACCATCTCCCTCCCCAGGCTTTCTCTCAAGTTTTATTGTTTTATAGTTTTTTTTCTCCTACTTGTGTACTGTGTCTCACAAACTAGAACGTGAGCCCCAGAACAACCGGGATTCTATTTGCCTCTCTTGTTCTGGCTTTGTCCTCTGAGGCTAGAAGAGTACCCCCCAAGAACTATCTGTGGGAGCAATCACAGAGCCAGTCTTCCAGATCTCTGGGTCCTGCTCCCTCATCCAAACCATTCTCCACACAGCCCCCACAGCCATCTGTTACTGAGCCACGTCCCTCTTGGGGAGCAGCCCAAGCCCAGCCCTGGGAGGGGTGTACTCACCTGTGCCCAGATAGACAGCGAGGGCTATGACCATGGCGGCTGTGACCACCCAGCCCCAGGTCTTCACCTCGGGGTGCCGCATGCTGTTGAAGACAGGCACACTGCTCACGTGGCACTATAGGGTGAAGGGCACAGTTATGATGGGGAAGTGACCTCACCCTCCATTTACAAAGGAAGGTATCCTGGGGACAAGGGCAAGTCCTGGGCTCCCTATTCCATCCTTCCTTTCAGGATACCCCAGACTGTTGCATCGTGGGTTCCATCCTAGGGTGGGAAGTGAGCTAAGGGGACCACAGGGATCTTGCAACTGGTACCTGAAATCCGAAGCAGATGGTGGGCATGGCATTGAACACAGAAACCCAAGAAGTCGGCCTGTGGACAGATATAGCAAGTGCTGCTGATGAACCCTCAGAGCCATCAAGTGCCCCTCCACCCCAAGTTCCTATTCTGCATTCAGCCCACCATGATCTCTACGAACAAGCATTCCACACTGAGATCACATAAGTCTAGGCACAGGAAGATGGCACATCTCCATTTCAGAGGTCAGTAAATGAAGGCTCTCGAAGGCCCTTCTGGGACCCAAATCCCGAATGCCTAGCTCCTGCATCAAGCTTTTGCTTTTCTGGCTTGTTCCTTTCAAAAAAAGGGAAACTTTTCTCTTAAGTAACAAAAAAGAGTTTCATCCCCATATAGAAGATACAAAAATTACAGACAAGCACAAGTTGGAAAATGTGCCGTTTGGCCCTGGTAGTCGTCATAACCTGGGGCCTAGTCTCATTTGGCTCTAGCTGGAGTTTGGTGGCAAAGTCTCCCCTGTCTCTGGTTCTCACTTTTCCCTCCAGTAAAAAGAGATCAGGACATCTGTCTCCTTCCCATCATGGCCAATGAACTGAGCCCCATTGAGCAAGTGAGCCCAGGAGAGCACCTGTGTGACCTTTGGATGCCTGGCCAAGGGGACTGAGCAGCTGAATCTCCCCCCTAGTATCTCCTGGGGCCCTCACCCACCTGGTCAGGATGTCCCCTGGGGTCATCTCTCTGTCTGGCCAGATGTATTTTATGATGACGATGGCAGTGACGTACCAGGTGCCCACAACACTCAGGAAGCTGCCGGAAAGGAGGGATGAGTTTCTTCCTCCCCAGCCCCAGCTGTCCTTTCTTTGCTTCCATCCCAGGGGCATCCACCCCCATCTCTAGTGACCATAAGTGTTAATGGAACAATATGGGAGACTCTGACTCAGGAATTGCACAAGAAATAAGTCTCAGGGGAATTGGCCATGGCTAGGAGGAAACTGGTCTCCAACAGGGGACCAGGCATCTGACATTTGTAGCCATCGAAAGGTATCAGCTGAACAATAAGGCTGAGACTGTGGCAGGGGCCTGGTTTTCAAAGCACATCTCCTTCAGTTAGAGCAGCCCAGACCTGGCAGGGAATGCAAGCAGGGCCACTGAGAACAAGGAGAAGCTGGAGGTAAAAGGGTTATAAGTAGAAATCGTGGATTGTCAGCATAAAAGGAGACCTCAGAGACAGCTGAGTGTGACCCTTTCGATTACAGATCAGAGGAAACAGTCTAGAATCCCACAGCTTTTTAGACTCAGAGATAGGAAGCTGTTCCTCTCTCTTCATACCAAGCCACATGCACCACCAGGCTGACAATCCCAAATAATCAAAGACCCCGTCCTCCCTGGGAAAGCCAAGATCCAGGCCAGGAGCTGCCTTCACATTCCTATCATCCATCCTTTCTCTGACCAGGACATTTGGAATGGAGTCTCTCGCTGATGTCCAGGGCCACGTCTCCCTCACTGCTAACAGAAACGAAGTTTATGTTTGAACCTCTGCAAGCCCTGGTGTGCCCTGCCTTGCTCGTTGTGGCTACCCCAGAGGTAAGACAGCCTGGAGGGAACAGGCTTCCCAGCAGCCTGTCTCCAGCTCCCTGGATCAGAGCTTCTGTCTGGCCTAGGCTGGGATGGGGTCTTCGAACCTGGCATATTTCTGGAAGCCGATCTCCCTGGGGATGGAGAGAGGCAGGATGAAGAGGAAAGCAGTGAGGCTGATGGTGAACTTTCGGTCTGTGTACCAGGGGCCACCGCTGGCGCCCTCGGGCTCCTTTGTCATCACAGTTATAACTGCACAGGGAGGAAGCAAGGAACGTCATGCCAGTCTACCACGGGGCGCAGCCTTCCTGCTCTGCTGAGCCTCTGCCTGTGCAATGGGCCGAGCAGACAGGAGGCAGGCTTCCCAGATGAATGCTGAGCCTGGACTTGGGCAGAGGTTGACCCCCCCCATCCTTGCCCCCAGGGCCCCCCAAAGGGAGGGATGAGGTAGGAACTGTGGGGGAAGCTCACTCTTGTCCTGCTGGTCCCCGATGATGATGAGGAAGGCGATGCAGGTGCCGAAGGTGTAGATGGCAATGGCCACCTCACACAGCACGCCTGTCAGCTTGCCGCACACAGCCCACACCACCTCCTGGTAGGTCCTCTCATTGCTGGCCTGGGAGCAGTAGGCCAGGATGACGAGGCCGCTGATGATGAACACCAGCATTCCCTGCAGGCAGGGGCAGAGCAAGAGGGTGTGGGCAAGGCTGGACAGCAGAGGGCAGTCTGGTCTCGCTCAGCCTTTACTGGCTCCATGCCCACAGCCAGTTTGGCAAAGCAGTCTCATTTCATAGGTTAATTTTAATAGATTACTAAATTAATTATTAGATTACTAATATTAATAGATTGCCAAGTTAAGATTTTCTTTAAAAACAGATGTGGTTTTGTGGAATATTCTAAACACAAGCGTAGACAGAAGAGTATCATGGGCTCACAGGTACCCATCACTCAACTTTAAAAGTGAACAACGAAAGGCCTATATTGTTTCACCTATTCTCTCTCCCACACTGGATTAACTTGAAAATGTGATTTATTTTAGCATGCAGATGTAGTTCTAAAAGATAAAAGTACACTTTTAAAACACAATCATGAAATGGTTAAATATGTGGCCCTCTCTGGTTCCTGGGGAGGCTTGTGAAGCCTCACCTGAGCTCAGAGGAAAGAATGCTAGAATTGATTAGTAATGTCTGCCATGTGTAAGGGCAGGGAGAGGGGTAGCACATGTCATTTCCCAACCATCCCTGATCCAAAGCCTCCCCTATAAGACAAAAAGCTCAGACCCACCACCCAAATGGCATCTTTGCCCTCCCAGCCAACACTTACCATCTGTAGCGTGATGCCGGCTGCCACGCCCCCTGCGGTGCTGAAGGCTGCTGGGAAGTTGAGCAGCCCTGCACCCAGGCAGGCATTGACTACGATGAAGATGGCCCCAAGAGTGGAAGTGGTGCCCCTGGCCGGACCCCCTGGAGAGGCCTGCCCCTCATTCTTGGGGGCTGTGTCTACACAGGGACTCTGCAGCAGACGTGCCCGCTCCCCAGAGTCTGAGCTTGAGGCCCACTCGCCATAGTCATTGTTGATGCTGACCTGGGCCATGGCCCTGGGAGCCCCCTTGCTGTAGGGTCAGCTGGTTCTTTGTCACGACCACATCCCCTGCGCAGCTGGAGGGTGGCACCAGCCTGTTCAGGGCTGTTATTCTAAGAGGCCTGTGGACTCCTGCTCTTCTCAACCTAGATGGGATAAAAGAAAGAGGACAGATATGCTGAGGTGAGCACAGAAAGGTGGGACATAAAGAAGGGAAAAACTGGGCCTCCCCAGTGGCACAGCAGTTGAGCGCTGGGTTGTGAAGCTGCCCGTCAGCCTCTGCAGTGCTGGTTCGATCCCCGGCTGCTCCCCGGCCACCGGAGGAAGGTCCCACATGGCGGGCAGACCTCTCCTGCCGCCCGCTGCTCCCCTCAGCAGTGTACTTCGGTCCTTCTGCCTGTTCTGCTCCCCACTCTGGCTCTGGTGAATTCTCTTACCCTCCCGCGCTTCTGACTGTATCCAGTGCTTGTATAAAATAAATAAATAAATCTTAAAAAATAAAAATAAAAAAAAAAACCTCACAATAAAGGACTCCTCAAAAAAAAAAAAAAAAAAAAAAAAAGAGGGGAAAAACTGCTCCGAGGTCACACAGTTAGGAGGCAGACCCAGGTGTGCCTCTGGGCAGCATGCTGCTTTGGGTGTGGGTGGCAGAGACAGACCATGTCAGATGCAAATCCTGCTGGCTTCAAATTTATGGACCCATCGGGTAAGACATAAGAGAGGGGTGCTAGCACATCAGGGGTACTGACACCCTAGAGAAAAGCCATCACTGGGCAGGTGTGTGATGGATGTATCTTATCTCTTTCAGTCCTATGACTCTGGTCATAAGTTTCAGAGAGATTAAATCACTGACCAAGGTCACATACTATGAGTTACAAAGCAGAATCCAGATCATCTGTGTGACTTCTCAGCCTGTTTCCACTCGACAGGGTCCCAAGAACATGGGGTCATCTACGACCATGGATATTTCAGTGAATCAGAGCTCACCACATCTCCCTCTGGCCCAGAGTCTAAATTATGTCGCAGGCCAATTCTCACTCTTTGCCCACATGGCAAGCTCCACCAACCTTGTCATGTTTGGGTCCTAGGGAAAACAACCACAGATCCTGTGCTAGGAAGGCTCCCAGCCCCTTTGCTAGTTCCCCTTCCAGGTCCCACTTCTCGGACACTTACTGAGATCTTTTTGGTGCTGTCAGGCCCTGCGGTCCAGCATTGCTCAGGCTGGTTTCCTCAAAGTAGTCTCTCACCTGCCAGCATTTCACAGATACCAGGCTTGCCCTCCTAAGCGAGACGCCAGGCTCTGATGCCAAACAAGTATTTTTTTTTTAGGTTTTGTGTGTGTGTGTGTGTGTGTGTGTAGAAGAACTGGGGTATAGGCCAGAGATGTGGGGGTTGAGCGGATCCACTAGAGATAGGATGGAGAGCAAGACAGGTGAATTTATTGAAATACGCTGCTAAAGGCAGTAGCGGGTGTCATAGCAGTGATAGCGCTGAGACTCAACCCAGGGAGACCCCCAAACAAGTATTGTTACAATCAACTGCCGCCGCTGCAGATATGGAAGTGCTTTATTGCATTCAATTCTCAAAATAGCCCTACAAAGCAGGCATGACTGTTACCCCTTAACTAAGGAGGAAACGGAATTCCGGAGGGGTTAAGGGTTTACCCTAAGTTACATAGTGGTCAGAGGTGAAGCTGAGATTCAGCTCAGTCTGGTCTCACCCTAGAGCAGTCTCTGTATTTGTCTCATTCCTGGGCTCACCATGATGCCTTAGGCAGGACTCAGTTAACCAACTTGTCACCCCACTGACTGTCTTTACTATCTGGAAAACACAGGTGACTTAGAGCTGCTTCTCTGGCTTTGATCTGCTTCCTTAACAACTAGGAAGAAGCTTCCAGCTTCCTCTTTTCAGAATCTTGAGATACTCTGAGGACCCCAGGCCTGAAAAATGATCTTCATTATTTTCAGGGTTCAGCTTACAGCCTGAGAGCCTCAAGAGAAATGATGGTCATGAAGATCCAAGTCCATCAGATCGAAGCTCCCCTAAGCAGGGAGGTTTTGTGATCCGGGATTCTGGGATTCTGTTTGGGTTCTGAAGTCAGAATGCTGACTCCTCCATGCTCCAGCCGTGTGACCTCAGGCAAGTCACTTTATCTCTCTGAGTCTTTACATCATCAGTTACTGTGAGGCATGCATTATTATTAGTATGGGTGTAATGCTCAATACAAGGTCATTGCTACTGCTGTTTTTTGTGTTTTTTTTTTTAAAGAGATATTTTATTTATACAAGAACTAGGGTACAGGCCAGATGTGCGGAAGGGTGAGAGGATTCACCAGAGACAGAGTGGGGAACAGAACAGGTAGACGGACCGAAATACACTGCTGAGGGGAGTAGCGGGCGAGACAGGAAAGGTCTGCTTGCCATGTGGGTTGCTCCAAGGCCAGCGGGGATCGAACCAGCACTGCAGAGGCTGCGGACAGCTTCACAGCGCTGCGCTTAAACACCTGCGCCACCAGGGAGGCCTGCTACTGCTGTTTTTGCAGATGCCCTTTCTCATGCTGCCTATCTCCGGAATGCCTAGGAATTCTCAATCCTAAGCAAGCACAGAGCAAAAAACTAATCAAAACTAGGGTCAAGTGCTACTTGCCAGGTAAAAATGGGCACAAATGCACTGGGATAGCTAATGGGAGGAAGAGCAACATGAAGTCCAGATTAGAAGGGCAAGTGCTGGGTGGGTAGTAAGGAGCTACGTTTGGCCTTCCCCAAAGGCTGCTTACTGGCAGTTACTACTCAAAATGGGAACTGTACCAAAGGCTCCCCCACCCCAGAGATTCCTCCTTTCTGAGACCCGAGCCTATACTATTCACACAAAACTCTGCATTTTACACTCTATTCTTTGCAGCCCATGGAGAAGGGGACTGATCATATTTGGTCATAATGACTGAGCTAAATACTTTCTAGCACAGGGGCCTCCCTGGTGGTGCAAGGGGTTAAGATGCAGCACTATGAAGCTGTCTGCAGCCACTGCAGCACAAGTTTGATCCCCAGCCAGGGAGGTGACCCACATGGCACAACAGACCTCTGCTGCCTCATCCACTGCTCCCCTCAGCAGTGTATTTCAGTACATCTGCCTGTTCTGTTCCCCACTCTGTCTCTGGTGAATCCTCTCAGCCCCCCCCCCACCTCTGGCCTGTACCCCAGTTCTTGGATGCATAAATAAATAAATCTTTAAAAAAGTACTGTCCAGCACAGAGACACACCCCTTGATGGCCTCAGCACACTGGGGGTGGGGGGGGTGTATGAGTTTAGAATGGTAACAAAGCTCCCAGGTAGTCAGATGCTTTCCTTTGTTCCTCCTGGTGAGGCTCTCTCACATCATGGAAAATGGAAAAGTTCAGGTGCTCTCAGACATTGGTCACCAAACAAGAAAATCAGTTCCAGAGGAAATATTCCTCCGCTGGCTCCAACTCCAGAAAGATCAGTCAGATGCCAGAGGGCTTCCTCTTGTGCAATCTGCCACCCAGCCAGCAACTCAGCAAAAAATGAAAGCAGTCAGTAGTGAGGTAGAGTTTAGGGCTCCGGGGCTGGAGCATAGCCCCTGCGAGCCTGTGAAGTGGGTGCTGCAGCAGCTGTGAGCCCTCCACCTGGCCCACATCTCAGGCGCAGGGTCTCTACATTGGTCCAAGAAGTCTCAGCCTCCCCTCCCCCAAATCATTCAGCTCCATTGCCCACCTTACCTGATCCACTAGGGTGTGGGGCTGGGAGGCTCTTCCTTACAGTTTCTTCTCCCAGAGATCTGAAGCCTGGATTCTCCTCACTTCCTTCTCTGGCCCCAATTTCTTCTTTCTCAAGACTTTACATAAAATCTGCTGGCTGCTGAGAAAAGAGTTTGGGCTGTTTCTGTGCTAGTCAGCAGAGTGAAGGGAACTGCACCTCTAACTCAGAATGGAGCATCAGATCAGATATGAAAACAGGTTTCGGGAGGAAAAGAGGAAGAACCAGTTGCCTGATGGCCACATACTCAGGCCGGAGCTGCAGGCCTTGCAGGAGGCCCCTCAGATCCCAACAGTAGCAGGTTCAAGCCCACTTCGGGACTAGATCCCAGGAATACGTGGGGCGGGCTGCATTGGCAGGCGTTTCTGGACAACCCGGGGTGGGTGGGTGGAGGGACGATCCCCAGACCTGAAGGGAAGCGAGTGGGCGGCTGCGGGGTAAACTGGGGAGGGGCTCCGGGACTCGATCCAGGCCTGGGGCAGGAGGAGAAAGGCCGGGGCGAGGCGCTGCCCGAAACCTCACGACAGAGAGCGAGCGCTGGAGCGACCACGCCAGGCTCCGGAGCCCGGTGGGCAGTGAGCAGTGGGCTGTCGGCAGGACGCTGCCGACAGGGGCTGCAGGGACCCGGGGAATCTACCGCTTCTACCTCCTGCCACTTACCTACGAAGCTTCTCTTCCCAGCCCGCTGGGGAGGCACGTGAGCGGCGGTCACGTGACCGCCCGGGCTTGGGCGTGGCGCGGGACACCCTGGGAGTTGTAGTTTCCCGTAGGTGGCTCTCTTGGCTAACACTAGCTCCACAGCATTGCCCTGAGCCGGTCTCCCACCCGGCCCACCCATGTTTATCCTCTTTTTTTTTTTAGTCCTGTTCTTTTGGCCAAGCTAAACACGGCTCCTTCCTCCCGGGAAGACCACTTAGGAGGTCTGGCTCTTGGCCCGCCTGCTGCGTGGGTCACAGCTGTTGCCAAAGCTGTTTGGTCTCATTGTCCATCCGTGTCTCCCTCCCTGCCTTCACACCCACTGCCTGTGACCCTGAGTTCTTTTTTACTGAGGATGGTGAGGGAACACTCTGACTTCCTAGAGCTGTGGGCTTTCCTAGGAGAGAGAGGTCTGGTGTGAATTTTGCCCAGATCTCTAGCGCTGAGCCTAGATTCTAGAAGTTTCTGAGGCATTATAGTCATTCATGTAAGTATTTGCTGCCCTAAGGAGAGCCTTGGTTTGTGTTACCGACTGTGCTACTTGGCAAGTTGTCATATAACCCCCAGCTTTCCAGTGTCCTCATCTGTTATGAGAATTTTCTCTCAACTACAGATACCTTCCCATGCATCAAAGGTCATCACTGAGGGCCTCACTGGTTGTGCAAGGGGTTAAGACACAACTATGAAGCTATCTGCAGCCACTGCAGCATGAGTTCAATCCCCGGCCAGGGAGCTACCCACATGGCTCAGCAGACCTCCCCTGACTTACCCGCTGCTCCCCTCAGCAGTGTATTTCAGTCAGTCTGCCTATTCTGCTCCCCACTCTGTCTCTGGTAGGTCCTCTCACCCCCCACATCTCTGGCCTGCACCCCAGCTCTTGTATGCATAAATAAATCTTTAAAATAAAAAAAAGGTCATCACTGATAGGGGTATTTATGTTGTGACCACTGCAGATATACATGCAGTTATAAGAAATAACTTGAACCAATCCTGTGTACTGTTTACTGTTTCCTTCACTGGTGACATTTTCAAAACTATAGTGCAATGGCACAATCAGGACATTGACATTGACACAATGCACTAATCATGTTCAGATTTCCTGTTAGAGTTAGTCATTTTGGGTGTCATTTAGTACTATAAGTTAATCACCTGTGTAGGGGTTTATACAGCCATACCACATTCAAGATACTGAACATTTATACCACAAGGATCCTTCTAGCTGCCCTTCTATAACTACGCTCTCCACCTTCCAGCAAAAAACCCCTTCTCTGCCTCTGGCAGCCACTAATCTGTCTGCCATCTTCACTATTTCAAGAGTTATGTAAATGAAATCTTTCAGTTTGTAACATTTTATTTTAAAGATTTATTTATTTATGCATACAAGAACTGGGGTACAGGCCAGAGATGCAGGGGGTGAGAGGATTCGCCAGAGACAGAGTGGGGAGCAGAACAGGCAGACTAACTGAAATATACTGCTGAAGGGAGCAGCAGGTGGGACAAGAGAGGTCTGCTGTGCCATGTGGGCAGCTCCCTGGCCGATGATCGAACTCGTGCTACAGTGGCTGTGGATAGCTTCACAGGTTGAATCTTAACCCCTTGCGCCACCAGGGAGGCCCCAGCTGGTAACATTTTAGGACTGGCTTTTTCTCCTCAGCACTATTCCCCCCAAGATGCAGCCAAGTTATGTATATCAACATGTATGTTTTATTACTGAATAGTATCCCATGGTGTCTATGTACCAGTTTGTGTAACTGATCACTTGTTGAAGAACTTATGAGCTGTTTGTAGGTTTTTAAAATGTAGCGTTATTGAGATTTATGAATTTCACCAGAAATTTCATGTTTAAAGTGTCAAAATACAGTGGTTTTTCAGCCAGAATCCCTACTTAAAGTCATCACTTTCCCCAGGGCCCTGTAACCATTAGCAGTCACTTCCTATTTCTCCCTCCCCCAAACTCCTGGCAACCATTAACCTACTTTGCTTCCATGGATTTGCCCTTTGTTGACATTTTATATAAATAGAATGTGACCTTTTGTGTCTGTCTTCTTTCACTTAGCAGACTGTTCTAAAAGTTCATCCATATTGGAGCAGATGCTAATACTTTATTTCTTTTGATTGCTGAATAATACTCCATTATTTGACTGCACCATTAAAAAAAATCACCAGTTCATTGGACATTTTGGTCACTATGAATATTGTTGCTGGAATACTTATATACACATTTTTGTGTGAATTTGTCTGTCTTGGGTTCATATGTAGAATGGCTTGGTCAAATTGTGACTGTTTAACCTTTTGAGGAATTGCCAAAGCAGCTGCACCATTTTGAAATCCTACCAAGCTTTTGAGGGTTCCAATTTTTTCATATCCCTGATAATCCTTGTTTTGATTATAGCCACCCTGGAATATGAAATGAGTGGGGACAGAGTGGGGAGCAGAACAGACAGACTAACTGATTTCATTGATCTGATGACTTAATGATGTTTATACTACAGCTTTCAGATGTTTACTGGTCTTCAGTTTTCTCTGAAGAAATGTCTATTCAGACCTTTTCCAGTTATTAATTAGGTCTTTTTATTATTGAGTTGCAAGAGTTCTTTATACATTCTGGATACAAATTCCTTATCAGGGCCTCCCTGGTGGCACAGCAGGTTGAGTGCAGTGCTGTGAAGCTATCTGCAGCGTCTGCAGCACTGGTTCAATTCCTGGCCAGCCAGAGAGACACCCACATGGCGGGGCAGACCTCTCCTGTCTTGCCCACTGCTCGCCTCAGCAGTGTACTTTGGTCCATCTGCCTGTTCTGCTCCCCGCTCTGTCTCTGATGAATCCTCTCACCCTCCCACGCCTCTGGCCTGTATCCCAGATCTTGTATAAAAGTAAATAAATCTTGGGCCTCCCCTGGTGGCGCAGTGGTTGAGCGCTGGGCTGCGAGGCTGCCCGCAGCCTCTGCAGCGCTGTTTCGATCCCAGGCTGCCAGCGAGGGTCCCACATGGCACGCAGACCTCTCCTGCTGCCCGCTGCTCCCCTCAGCAGTGTATTTCATCAGTGTGCCTGTTCTGTTCCCCGCTCTGGCTCTGGTGAATTCTCTCACCCTCCAGCGCTTCTGACTGTACCCAGTGCTTGAATAAATAAATAAATTAAAAAAATAATAATAAAAGTAAATAAATCTTAAAAAAAATTCCTTATCAGCTATGTGATTTACAATACTACTCTCAACATTTACGTAAGGCTATCATTAACAAATAAAAGTTGGTTTTTTAGTTATTAGTTATAAACAAATCAACAATTTCTGCAAAAAAAATCACACCCCAGAAAAAAAAAAGTTCAAAACAAAATTCTCAAGCTGAGGGCCTCCCCTGGTGGCGCAGTGGTTGAGCGTTGGGCTGCGAAGCTGCCTGCAGCCTCTGCAGTGCCAGTTCGATCCCCAGCCGCTGGCCACATGGCACGCAGACCTCTCCTGCCGCCTGCTGCTCCCCTCAGCAGTATATTTCGTCACTCTGCCTGTTCTGTTTCCCGCTCTGGCTCTGGTGAATTCTCTCACCCTCCCGTGGTCCTGACTGTACCCTGTGCTTGTATAAATAAATAAATCTTAAAAAAACAAATTAAAAAAAAATTCTCAAGCTGAGCTGAATTTAAGATGTAAGCCTGAGGCATTTAGTCTGATAGTACCCAGACTGATCAATGCAAGAGCTGTATCTCAATCACCTAGATTTTTTTCTCTATTTAAAGTAGATTCTTTTTTGATATAAATTAGATTAAAATTTAGATCCCCAAGCTTTATCTCAGATATTTTGAGCCACAATGCCTGGAGGTAAGAGCATGGAACCAATATTAAATAAACAATCCAGACCTGGAAATACTTCTACCTTAGGTTATATTTTTCTGGGCAGGTAAACCGCCTCCTCCAGCAGGTGGAAGGCCATCGTTATCTTACACCCTGACTAGGAAACTCAGAAGGGTTGAAGGCACATCATCTGAACTGATGAGAAAATGTCAGGGTCCACGTCTCATATGACTGGTTCAGTGAAGAACAGGACTTAAGTCTAGAGTGAGCTGGCAATACATGGGTTTAAAAATAACAAAGTCAGCAGGGTGTTCAAGTTCCTTTTCCAGTCCAGGTCTTGACAGCCAGCTTCAGCCATTCTCTGGGCTCCACACAGGGAGCGTTAGCACAGTACCTCCTGAGGCAGTCAGTCCCTGAAAGAACATCTGACCAATATGTTTATTGTTCCCATTTGAGGGATTTTTTTAAAAAAAGATTTATTTTCTTATTTATGCATACAAGAACTGGGGTACAGGCCAGAGGTGTGGGGGGTGATTCACCAGAGACAGAGTGGGGAACAGGCGGATTCACCGAAACACTGCTGAGGGGAGCAGCGGGTGAGACAGGAGAGGTCTGCTGTACCATGTGGGTCACCGCCCTGGCCGGGGATCAAACTTGTGCTCATTCTGCAGTGGCTGTGGACAACCTCATACAGTGCTGCATCTTAACCCCTTGTGCCACCAGGCATCCTTTTCAAAGATGTCAGTGAACCACTTGTTCCTTCCTTCACTACCTTGTTGTCTCTATTAGCAGTGGGGACATAGAAGAGTCGAGTGAGGAGCGATCCCACTGTGCTCTGTCCCTTGAAGTGAGAAGCAAGGGGAACAAACTTCTTCCCCCTCCTATACCTGCCCCAACACTGGATGGTCTGAGTCCTGCTCCACTGCTGGTCCAACCAGTAGCTGCCCCATCTTGAATGACTCTTTGCACTAAGCAGAATGGGACAGAATAACCCTGTGGTAGGCCTGCTGCCAGGCAGGTGCATTGCTATATGTCTGCAGACAGATATGGCTTTATGCTACAGGCAATTTATGCCCTGGCAATTTCTTCTTTGCATTTTTAAAAAGCCAAATTAGTTGTAAACTTTTAAGAATCAATAGACCTCCCACAAAAATCGGGATTTCTAATTTTGAATTTTTTTGCTGAAACTGAAACATATATGACCTGTGACCCTGGGCTTTCAGTTTCATGGTGCTTGTCACTTCCTTGGTACTCAATAATGACGGGGAAGATTGGTCACCAACAATCATTTCACATTCAGTCTGCATTACTTTACCTTTACATTCACTGTTATTGGTCTCACCTACTTTGCTCTTACAGACATCTCCAGTTGCCAACTATCCCCCATCCCTGCCTATATCCACAGGATCCTTCAAGGTACCCCACTGGTCCCGCAGCACTAAAGGATTATACCCACATTTGCAACATCTTTGGATTGGAGGAGTCAAAGATGTGTCTCTGGTCTCTATCTGGAACAGCTAACAGAGCTTTTGGCTTATGGTCAGCAGGACATGCTCCTGTTAGGATATATGCTCCCTCTTACCCTTTCCCCCATTAAAGAAAAAGACAGAGTATAGTAGATGGTGGCTGGGTCTACAGTAACTTTATTGTAACAGAGAAACCAGGCTGCAAGAAGTCTACATGATTTGAGCAGATCGTGGGTATCTTTTCAAAAGTTGGAGTCTGAGCCCAGCTGGTAGCACACACAGATAAAAACCAAAGCCCAGAGCATCCTCTTTCCTGGTCCTCCCCTGCACTGCCCAACTCAGGATGAGGGACAGGTGCCTGCGCAACAGCACTGAACTAAGGGGTGAAGTCCAACTGGGCAGAGGCAACATCCTGATGAGACAATTGAACAACCACTGAAGAGGATTCTGAAATAAAGTGCAGTTACCCACTCTGCTATTTTTTGATGAGAAGGGTGAAGGTGTGGGATGAGCAGTAAATTATGCTCTTCATTCTTCAAACAAGTAAATCCTATAGGACGGGGTTGCTGGTCAATCAAGCAGTGGAATAGGATGAAAATCTAGGCTAGTTACAGAACTTTGTGCCTAAGGGAAAGCAGAGCAGTGGCAAGGGAGAAGAGAAGAACATTGAAATGCCCATGAATGTTGAAAAGAAGAGCCTTCTTTCTTTTTTTATTTAGATCAGATGGGATGCAGCATCTTTTATTTTTCCATGCTGCAGTGGCAGCCAACTCACTGGTTTTCGTAAAACATGATTTTTATTAATATGGTCTGGTAACAAGGTTGCTAAATTCCAAGAGGACAAACACGAGGCTGATGGTTAGTGTTAGAACTAGGTCTTCTTCCCAAAGCCTCTGCTAAGAGCTATTTCTCATGTTGGATACACAGAGGGACCCCCAGCACCATGAGGTGCTGCAGTTAAAGCTTCTGAGAATATCACAATGGCATGATCGAAAGGGTCATTTTTGGGCTATGACTTTTTTGTACATGTAAACTTTCAGAAAAGCTGAAGATACAAGGATGAGGGAGTTTGGTTTAGAGTCACAAAGTTCCAGACACCAGTCACAGATGCCTCTGCCCTATTCACTACACGTTCTTTTCAGAGAAACATGTTCAGTCGCTGAGTATTAAGCACTGTGGTTGAAGAAACGAGCTGCTCATCACCATCCACCCCCCTTCTCAGTGTGAATCTCACGACTGAAGACAGGAAGGTTATCTCTGTTTCCTCTCACCAGGAAGTTACTTGGTGACCTGATGAATGGCATGGGCAAGGTAGCCCACGTTACCGGAGGTGACCCCTGCCACGGAGATGCGGCCATCCTTCGTCATGTAGATGGAAAATTCCTTGGTCAGCCGCTCTACCTGCAAAGAGAAGGCACTCAGGCACTGCCTGGGCAGGGTGGGGAGTCTCCCTAACCAGGCATAAGAGCAGAAGGACCCAAAAATAACAAAAGCTTTATTTTCTCCCTTAAACCCTATACCCAAATTTGGTGCACTAGTTTAGAGTAAAGTAGGAATAAAAAGCTATTTTCAAGTGGGATGATGAATTTTGAAGGATGAAGAGATGAAAAGATTTAGCATGGTGGAAACCCAGATGCAGAATCCAGCTATGGAGTAGCCACTGCTCCTTTCATAATTCAGTCTTCTGTTTGTTCTGGTGTGAAAAGTGAAGGATTAATTAAAAAAAAACAAAATGAATGCTACATACTTCCTTTACCTGAAAAGTTTCTGAAATAATGTTTACAGGTAAGCGTGAATAGGTAGGTAACCCATGAGAAATTCTGGTTTGCAAGGACTGATCAGTCAGCTATGGGGGAGTCGGAGCCCACTCACCTGTTCAGGTTTTAGCCCTGTGAAACAAAACATGCCGATCTGGTCAGTGATGTGCTGCCAATTGTGGGAGGAGCCCTCCTTCTTGAGGTTGGACACCAGCTGAGTCCGCATGCTAATGATGCGATCGGCCATGCCTTTCACTTCTTGCAACCTGTAAAACAAAACAAAAGTCCTGTGATGCAGTGCTATTCTGGCCAAGCACTGGTAAGCCACTCCCACCATATGCCTTAACTACCCACTTGACTGAGTCATGTGCTGTCACTGGTCTAAAAAGAAAGCTATTTCATGGGTCTCCCTGGTGGCACAGGGGTTAAAGACAGCTCTATCAAGTGGTCACTAGCCACTGCAGCACAAGTTCAATCCCTGGCCAGCCAGGGAGCTGACTCACATGGCACAGCAGACCTCTCCTGTCTCGCCCATTGCTCCCCTAGCAATGTGTTTCATTAGCTCCACCTGTTCTGTTCCCCAACTCTGTCTCTGGTGAATCCTCTCACCTCCTCCGTACCTCTGGCCTACACCCCAGTTCTTGTATGCATAAATAAATAAATCTTTAAGAAAAAGTTATTTCAGAACATTTTGTTATATATCAGAATACTATTTTAAAGAATTTAAAACTATTTTATTGTATTTTTCTTAAAGATTTATTTATTTATGCATACAAGAACTGGGGTGCAGGCCAGAGTTGTGGGGGGTGAGAGAATTCACCAGAGACAGAGTGGGGAACAGAACAGGTAGATCGACTGAAATACACTGCTGAGGGGAGTGGTGGGCGGGTCAGGAGAGGTCTGCTGAGCCATGTGGGCAGCTCTCTGGCTCGGGATCGAACGCATGCTGCAATGGCTGTGGAGAGCTTCATGGGTTGAGTCTTTTTTTTTTTTTTTTAAGATTTATTTATTTATTCATACAAGAGCTGGGGCACAAGCTAGAGATGTGGGGGGTGAGAGGATTCACCAGTGACAGACCTGGGAACAGAACAGGCAGACTGACTGAAATACACTGCTGAGGGGAGCAATGGGCGAGACAGGAGAGGTCTGCTGCACCATGTGGGCAGTTCCCTGGCCGGGGATCGAACTCGTGCTGCAGTGGCTGTGGACAGCTTCATAGGTTGCGTCTTAACCCCTTGCACCACCAGGGAGGCCCCTAAAACTATTTTAAACTATATTTAAAAGTTAAGATATACTTGTTAGTAAAAACAAATGAATGACTAAATCTTAGAAAGGTTAAGACTTGTCATCCTTATGCAGGGGACGGAGCTATGGATTAAAGAGTAAAATATGGCCTTATTTTTAACATGGACAGTAGAAACATTCTTGTTCATTCACAGGTAACATGCTGCACTGTGAATCTACCACTAGTCCAAGCCATGTTCTCAGTGCTGAGGAGAAAGAAGGACTGAGAGCTGGTTCTGGTCTTTAAAAGCGTACAGTCCAGAGTGGCAACAGACTTACATAAACAACCAACTATGGAACAAGGCAAGACAAGGTATGTAATAGCAGCACAGGACTTCGTGGGAGCCCAAGAGGAGGAGGTTAGTTCTATCTGCGGAACTGGAGAAAGCAATCCTCTCACTATACTGGCTTCCTTCCTTCTGGACAATCTTCCCTTTCCTCAGACTCTACCGTTTTACACAGCTCAAATGCTGTGCAGTCCTCACTAGAATCAAGATTCCCCCTTTAGCTGGCATTTATCTCATTTTGTATAAGGTCCATCTTGTAGCAATGGTGTATGTGACTTGTTCACTAATTATGAAGTGCCTAAGGGTAAAGTTATTTTATCATCTAGTACTAAAGATGTATCATTTTTGCACATGTAAAATGTTTATATGCACATTAAAAAAATGAAGTCTTGACTACCATTAGGGAATATGAAAACACACACACACAAAAAACTTTAAAATATTATATTAAAAAAAGTTACTATAATTCTAAATGACAAAAAGAAAACCAATCTATACAAATATATATAATAGTTTGTTAAATAGTGTATTACAACTGTGGATAATAGCAAGCAAAGGGAAAAAAGCTGAGTTATGGTCAACTTTTTCCCCTTCTCCCAAACTTTCTGGAATGTTCTCACACATTCACTTTGTAATGGGAAAAAAAAATAATTTAAAAAATAATTCGTTTTGTTAAGTCTAGTAGTGGTCTGTCACACTGAAAAGAATTTTCCTGAACCTGACTTGCTATTTACTTCAGCGTTCGTAAGATTAATGTAAGGTAGAAAAACGGGCCTCCCTTGTGGCGCAAGGGGTTAAGATGCAGCACTATGAAGCTTGAATTGGATCCCTAGCCAGGAAGGTGACCCACATGGCACAAGGACCTCTCCTGTCTTGCCCGCTGCTCCCCTCAGCTGTGTATTTCAGTCAGTCTGCCTGTTCTGCTCCCCACTCTGTCTCTGGTGACATCTCTCACCCTCATACCTCTGGCCTGTACCCCAGTTCTTATATGCATAAATAAATAAATCTTAAAAAAATTAATTTAAGGTAGAAAAAACAATACTGGCACATGATGACTAGGTAAGCGGCAATATTTCTTACGAACAGCAGATTGAGCTTTTCAAGAAGCTGCTTAGAGATCTATTCCTGCAACTAAGCAGCTACCCAGAGATGAGAGGATGAGGAACTGCAATGTGTGGATCACGTTTGCCTCTTCAGGACAGGACCAATTTATTTATTTGAAAGTGACCACAAAATGCACACTCCCCTCTTCCTTCCACACATGGAATCTGCGATACTGTATTTCACCAGAGGCCAATCATAAGTGAGCTGTGAGGCATCAGTGGGGGGAAAGGCGGGTGGCCAGAGTGGCAGTGTGCCTTTACCACTGTTTGCGAAGATCAGGGTTGCTCAGGATGGTGGAGGCAATCCGGGCCCCATTGAGAGGAGGGTTGGAGTACATGGGACGGATCAAGATCTTCAACTGTGACTCTACCCTTTTGGCTTCATCAGCATCTTTGCAGACCACTGTGAAGGCTCCTACACGTTCACCTGAAAAGACAAAATGGATCTTGTCTTCTAGTTCTTCTGTCCAAAATGTTAAGCAAATCATGATTAAAAATCCACATATTTAAATTGCCACATAAACTGTGGCATGTCATATGTTTCATCAGAAGTACTACAAAATATACTCTCGTAGATAAAAAGTTTTCAATCATCAGAATGGTGAACCAAGGAAAAATAGAAAGTCTGAGTACTCAGTTTGTTCAAAGGTCTATTTTTATTTTATCCATTTTACTGGCTCATCAATTAGTTGCTTTTTATTTAGAGAAGCCATAATCATTTTTATTTTGTTTTCTGGAAGAAATCAGGAATATTACAGAAATTGTAGCTAAAAATAATAGTTAGAATACACTAGACCAATTTTTCCTCTCTAGATAAAAAGGAACAAGGATTGAGAGACAGACAGACATGGGTGGAGACAGACAGACAGACAGACATACACATCCCATCACCACCAAATCTTATACTTTTGTGGCATCCTCTGCCAGCACTTTTGCAAATTCCTCAGAACACACATCACTCTGGGTCTTTAGCTTACCATATAAGCCCATGTTCTTGGCATAGGACTGGCAGAGACAAACATTAATGCCCTGTTCGATGAAGTGGCGCACAGCCCAAGCATCCTTGTTACCATCACCACTGGCAAAGCCTTGGTAGGCCATGTCAAAGAAAGCAAATAGATTGTTTTTCTGGGAAGGAAAGAAAAGATGACCGAAGCTATAGGTAGTCCTCTGATGATGTTCCAGATGGTTATTTGTGCTTATTGGGAGCATGTGTAATAACAACTCTTTCATCCTGATAGTGCTCTCTGAATGCACTGAATAGAGTAATCTCATTCTGTTAGCAGCTTAGATTTGACAGAATGTAAAGGAAGGGAAACTAAAAGGAGTGAAAATGGCTGTTACACAAGGCTATAACATGAAAGCTTCCTCCTAATAATTGTGACTAGTGCCATCTGACAGCTGACCCTGTGAATGATAATGGCAATGCCAAGGACAGTGGCAAGGACAGGTGGGGGCACGAAAAAGTGAATTAAAGGATGAACAAGTAACCACTCACCAGGGCAAATGAGGAACCACTAGCAGCCTCCTGGGGTCTGTGGGTGCCTAGTATACAGGCAGCCAACGACAAGTTTTAGTAGAATTCCCTATATATTTCCAAACTGCTCATATCATCAACTACAGAGCTGCTAACTAAGCAAGTGAGCTCTTTCCTTCATGGAACTTTCATGCAGGCTTAAGTTATCTAACTCTCACTTGCTAGGGCTTCACCCAAGTTAAGCTTCTAAGGCTGGTTACTAAATAGAAACTGACTGTCACCAGTCAGCTGACTTCCTTACCTTCACCACTGTTGCTATTTCTTTCCACTGCTCAGGACGAGGGTCCACTCCCGTGGGATTGTGGGCACAGGCATGCAGGAGAAGAACACTTTGCTGTGGCATTTTCTAAAGAGAAAACCACCAAGAGATTATTTTGGAGCTTTAAAGGAAAGAGTTGACCAGAAATGCCATAGGGTCACTATCATTTGATAAATAACAGAGATAAACTGAGGACTGGGAATTAGCTCATTCTCAGTATTTTAAATTAGACACTGAGGGCCTCCCCTGGTGGCGCAGTGGTTGAGCGCTGGGCTGCCAAGCTGCCCACAGCCTCTGTAGCGCCGGTTCGATCCCCGGCCACCCACGAGGGTCCCACATGGCGTGACAGACCTCTCCTGCCGCGCCCGCTGCTCCCCTCAGCAGTGTATTTCTTCGTCAGCCTCCCTGTTCTGTTCCCCGCTCTGGTGAATTCTCTTACCCCCCTGCGCTTCTGACTGTACCCAGTGCTTGTATAAATAAATAAATCTTTATAAAAAGAAAAAGTTGCAAATAAATTGGGGTTTAATTTAAAAAAAAAAAAATTAGACACTGAGATCCAGCTGGGACGCTCAAATCTCTGCAAATGTTCTTTTGCCCCCTCATCCTGCAAGCCACACTTACTGAAATGTCCTCCATAGCGCCCGTGAAGTCAAAGCCACAGGTCTTGGGCTCATAGTATCGATAGCCATGGAGCTGCATGCCGGCATCCCTGAAGATGGGTGTGTGATTTCCCCAGGATGGTTTGGGCAGAAAGACATCTCGGCTGAACTTAAAAAACCTTTGCTAAAAGATGGGATGAGAGGAAACGGAAAATGAAGAAAGGAGAAACAAAAAAAAGGTTGATGTAGTTTATTGAGAGGAGTTTTCTTATTAGAAATTCAGCTTGTTTTTATCACCGAAAGAGCAGTAGGTGGGCCTCCCCAGTGGTGCTGCGGGTTGAACACAGTGCTGTGAAGCTGTCTGCAGCCTCGGCAGCGAGGATTTGATTCCCGGCCAGCCAGGGAGATTCCCACATGGCGCGGCAGACCTGTCCTGTCTCGCCCGCTGCTCCCCTCAGCAGTGTCTTTGGGCTGTCTGCCTGTTCTGCTCCCCGCTCTGTCTCTGGTGAACCCTCTCACCCTCCTGTGCCTCTGGTCTGTACCCCAGCTGTTGTATAAATAAAAAATCTTAAAAAAAATTAAAAAAAAAAGGAGCAGCAGGCAGTGCTGAATTCATGGTCTGACACAATGGCATGTAGACAACTACCTGTCTAGGCCTCACTTTCTTCATTTGAAAAATGGCATTAACCGAACTCCTTCATAAAGATTAAATGAGTTAAGATATAAAAGCTCCTAGTAACAGTATATGCTCATTAAATAGCATCTACACCACCACAACCACCATTATATCTTCCTTGTAATTTTCTCTAAGTTCTTTCATTACCAGTTTTCCCCAACTCCATTTATTAGAGAACAGGCAATCTTCCAATTCTGTGACAAGGAAATACACTTCTAGGTCAGCAAACACAGATGCAATAGGAAACCCCATCATCTTCAACGGACAGGTGGTCTTAGAGATTTTCCCTAAGTTTCCAGACTTACCAGAAAACTGGCTCCAATCCTTAAGGCTCCAGTTCCAGAAATGGTCTGCACGGTGACATACTGAAGGGGAGACACCTATAGTCAGCAAGCGAGGTACAATGCTCTCAACAGGCCCACACCTTAGCAAAACTGGGGTCACACCCACAAAGAAGACCTCTTCATAGTTGGTATCTTTCTTTTTTAGAAGCTGAAGTGGATGTTCCAAATGAATATTTGGAAACAAGACAATTCAAATGTTTCATTTCCCCATTTGCTCACAGACAGCCTGACCTCACCATCTACTCCCCAAAGAGCTGTCTCTTCAGTTTCCAGCACCTCTGTAAAGAAATTAATTCCTTCCGGCTATTATTAGTATCACACTGTGTTACATGAGAAACTTTCAGGGCTCAAAAATTCCCCTCCCCCAATATGAAAAAGGAGTGTTATAGAGGGAAAAAAAGACACAAATAGTTACAACATTAAAAATTACTCTAGAATTATATAAAATTGATGATTTTCTGAACATCAAAGTTCCTTGAAAAGCAAGTTAACAAGTGTACATTAGGGTGATATTTTCACATTTTAAAGGTTGTCCTAAGTGGTCCCCTTTGAATTTTTAGAATGTGAAAATAATCCCCTTTTGGGTAATAGGAATATGCCCAAGAGAAACTGTTTCTTCAAACTGGTTAACTTAAGAGATGAGTAAGAAACCACAGCAGGCATAAATTGTTTTTTAAGGTATCACAGGAGTACAAGGTGCTACAAAACTTAAACCTATTTTCTGAACTAGGGTTAAGAGCAGTGGACTAAATGATAGGGGGACTGACTTAACAAACTCTTTACTAAACTGTCTGCAAACTGGCAAGACAGAAATGAAAACTAGTAATTAATATTACTCTGGTAATATTAATGATTGTAATATTAATGATTCGCAAAAAGGCATAGCAACTCATAAAAGACAAGCTGCTGTTATTTTAAGAGGCCTACCTTATACTTGGGGTACAACTGGCTGAATGGAGCAAAATCATAAAAAAAAAATACAGACGTTTTCGTGAGAGGTTAATAGGTGGGTGGATGATTATAGACACAGAAAACTAAATCACATTCACCCTGGGGTCGAGGTTGTATGCTTTCCTCTGTGTTAATGAACTAACCTGTGGACTTAGACCACAGGTTAGTAACTATGTATTTATTTATATACATTTAGTCTGGTCTTAGGGTGTGGGAGGAGAGATATATTGACTTTTTTTTGTAACTTTGTATGTTTTCCCCCAGAAAAATAAATATTAAACATACAAATGTTTTTACTAAAAAGTACATTTGTCTCAAAAGTAAGCCCAACACAAGTGAGCTGGCAGCCAGGAGCAGGCTGTTTAGAGGCAGGAAGCACCCCACCTACCCAATGCTGGCCTTGTGCTGGGCTGGATCTGCAGTTTCACGCAGAGACCTCTTTGTAAAACGCGAATGTGCAGTGACTTTTAGTGTCATCTTTCTTCCACAATAAGAGGGTCCTTCCAGGAGACACCCAGGGGTTGCTTAGGCTCCCCTGCATGTTGCAACGACGCTCACTGACCTACGGGGAGGGCGGCATTGGTAGTGCCGCTGTTCCTGGCCCCGAGTCCACCTGGAGCTCTTTCCTGCCCTTCTTCCATCTAAGCTGGAACTCAGTACATGAGGGCAGGGGCCAATTATAGACCTAAAACTTGGCACAGATGGCACTTCCAAAGCATATTCAAAGTAAAATCAACATAAGTGCACAGAGACTAGCAGCAAAAGCAGTGTCAGGTCCATCAGTCAAATTACGACTTCATTTTCAAAATTACTAGTACATTTTTGGAATTGGTGTTTTATAGATTCCTTAATTTGTCCCAATTTACTATGTAAAGAAGACATATTAGCAATAGTGTTGCTACCTCAAAACAATCTTTTACAGCATTTCAAATTTGTTTAAGATGTTCAATTTAAAAACAGACCCTGTATGATACCAGTCTGCTCCGCTTACCCGGCCACTTTTCAAAACTTCGTTGTTCTCACCCAGGGCGAGCTCTGCAGATGCCTTACAGAAGTCGGCCAGTCCTGCAATGGGCAGGTATTCTTTGTCCAGATTTTTTGATGCAATCTGGGCCTCCGCCTAGAAGGGAAAAAGCATCCATTTACTTTCTTCTCCCTGCCCAGAATTAGCCTGATTAATAGTTAATGGTCTATAAATTAAAATTTGCAAGTAAAGCCTTGTTTTTTATTTGAGAGTTAGTCCAAGGAAAAGGGTAAGTAGGACACTTGATATTTCATATCACAGAATAGAAGTATTTTTTATCATAGTATTTTGTGGGTGGGTACACAGTATCTCTGGGTTACCATTTAACATGAAATGGCTTTCTTGAAAAGCATCCAAGAGTCAGTGCTAAGTTCTACTCCTCCTACGCACTCTCAGGATTAAACATGACACTGTGCCTGTTTGATGGATAATCAGAGAAGTGCAATCTGGGAGAAGACCATGGAGTTAGTTCTACCTCTTATTTTTACAATCAAGGAGACTCTAGCCCAGAAAGCTGAAGTGAGTCAAGCAGTCCCTGTCTGTTGGAGAAGGGGCAGCAAGAGAACTGACTGCCTTTTGATCAGCCAGCAGAACTCAGAAAGATGGAGGCTCCTTATTCCCTCCCCAGGTAATGCACCTTATAGCCTTGCTCCTCAGAGAACACACTGTCAGGGTGGAGCCAAGGATACAGTCTTGAGAAAATGTGTTGTAATGCCCAATGCATTGCTCAGACCTATCTGGATGGCATGTGACTGAGGACAGTTAAAGCTGTTACTTAAATATGTCTGCAAGGGGGCTGGGTGGGGCACATGCAGGAAACTCTTGTCTTGCAGCCACCCAAGACAGAGCTTCTTGAGTAAAAATTGCTACTGACCAATCTGGAGTGGCCTGCCTCTTTGGTCTTTTCTTCCCGCGTGTATGGGGCCTGGTTTCAGTGCAGATTTCAACTGGGGGCATTCTTGGGGTTTTGACCCAGCAGTGCCAGAATTAGAACCCAGGTCTCTGAACTCCCTCTGGCATGTTCTGGGAGCTCCCTTCAGGTTATTTATCCCAATTAGACAGGAGATGGATGGCAAGCTCACCTTCCGGACGCTAGGGAGCACATAAGGCTTTCCATTATCATCCCGGTAAGCACCAACTCCCAGATTCATCTTTTTGCTATTGGTGTCTCTCTTAAAGGCTTCTGTGACTCCCAGGATGGGATCTGGGGGTCCCATCTCCACGTGGGTCCACCAGGAGCTGAAATGGGAAATACAAAGTATCAGTAACTAGGCTAGATTTCCATGGCCAGAGACATTGCAAATCTACCAAAAATCCACTACAACAAATGCTTGCATGTATACTTTGCATAGGGCATACCAATAGACCCCATTCAACCAACAACGCACAAGTTTTCAAAGCATTGTGTAGGAAAGTGGAAAAGACCAATGATTTTCAAACAAATGCTATGAGAAACAGAAGGGTATGCTTAAATCATTGTATGTAGGATTTCAAGGTTGTCTGAACTTGACCTAAATTCCCAGCAATGAATATTTCAAGTAATTTGAATGGTAAAAAATGAAACTAGAGCAGCAAGGGCAACTGCAAGAAGATTATGTAACCCTCAAAAGGGGCTTGGGTTTTATCCTATTCCCAGATTTGTTAAGAGTACCATTTGGAATCTGCTGAAAATAGGTTTTGGGGCTCCACTTTGGAAATGCATAGAATTCCTAAAGAATTTTTTTTCTGGGGGGCTGGGGAAAATGGCTGATCAGTTAAGGGGAGTAAAATGAATGGACTTGCATTTTTAGAGCTCATCTGGTGGTATGGTGAGGTACTGAATACAGTGGTAAGGGCAGATGCAGAAAGATCACTCAAGAATCTGGTTCTTTGTCTGGCAAGAGATAAAGCAAGGAGGGTAGCAAGTAGCGTGGGGGCAGCAGGGGTGGAGAGGAATGCAGAGAATTGTTGGGTATGTAGGTATTAAAACTAGCAGAACTGTTTATAACATCCTAATGATGCCCTCATTACTTTTTGAGTTATGTTTGGTAGTGTTATTTTTATTTGTACTAGTTACGATTTTGCATTTAAGTATGATCTTTTTTTTTTTTTTAAGATTTTATTTATTTATTTATACAAGCACTGGGTACAGTCAGAAGCGCGGGAAGGTGAGAGAATTCACCAGCGGGGAGCAGAATAGGCAGACTGACGAAGTACACTGCTGAGGGGAGCAGCGGGTGCTGCAGGAGAGGTCTGTGTGCCATTTGGGACCCTTGCCCGGTGGCCAGGGATTGAACCGGCCTTGCGGAAGCTGAGGGCAGCTTCACAGCCCAGCGCTCAACCACTGCGCCACCGGGGTGGCCCACATATGATCCTTTAACAGTCATAGAGAACATGACTGGTCAAGTGAAGTACAGAGCTGGGGATATATACCTCGTCTTTCCTTGGCTCCCAGTGAATGCCCAGAGGCAACAGAACTTTAACTCTCTCTAGCTTGTCCCCACCAACAACTGCTCTGGGGTTTGGCTTGTGGTCACTTATAAGCCCTACTCCCCTACCACACTTGTCCCAAGCAATGACTGAATTTGGGTAATGCTCTGACCATTCAGTGATCTCTGTAAAATTTGCAGTAGAAATCTAGTTCTCTGTTCGATGAGAGATGACAGATAATCTGGTTTGTTGTCTTTTTGTCTTTATGGATTTGGAGCTAAAATTAAGAATGTTGTAAACTTTTTCTTTGGACCCATGAGGCTTTTCTTGCTGTTTACTCTTTGATCAGTGACTCATGTTGTCTATTTGAAGAGCTATATCCTCTCTATGAATCAGTAATTCAAAATAAGTGTTTTTTGTTTTACCTGAGTGTCTAAATCTGAAATGTTTTCCATCACAGGGGGGTACTAAAAATCATAAAAATTTCAAGGGTACTCTGTTCTGTTTGTGTTGTAGAGATTGAATTTCTAGCACTTTAAGTATGGTAGACTTACTATTTTCCCTCTAAAAAAAATTTTTTCTTAAAAAAGTCAAATGTTGGGCCTCCCCGGTGGCGCAGCGGTTGAGCGCTGGGTTGCGAAGCTGCCTGCAGCCTCTGCAGCACCGGTTTGATCCCTGGCTGCTCCCCGGCCACCGGAGGAGGGTCCCACATGGCACGCAAACCTCTCCTGTCGCCAGCTGCTCCCCTCAGCAGTGTACTTCGGTCTTTCTGCCTGCTCTGCTCCCCGGTCTGGCTCTGGTGAATTCTCTCACCCTCCCGTGCTTCTGACTATACCCAGTGCTTGTATAAATAAATAAATAAATCTTAAAAAAAAAAAAAAAAAAAAGACTGAAAAAAGTCAAATGTTTTTAAAATTCAAATATAAACATTTGATAAATAAAACTAGTTTAATTCTGATTTAATAAAAAGTTAAGTCTTTTATTTATTCATATTAAGTATAATACATGCATATACTCTAATATATGTGGGTTTGTTTTTCCTAAACTTACACTGGTTTACTTAGCAAATAAGCTAACATTACTCCTACACACTTTAAATGTTACTCCTACACGAAAAATGTAAATTTGTGTTATCATTCTGACAAATTTTTAATTTCAACAATTACATATTTTTTACTCCTTTAGTAATAGGTTTTATTTTTTATTTTTTAAAAAAGATTTATTTATTTATTTATACAAGCACTGGGTACAGTCAGAAGCGAGGGAGGGCGAGCGAATTCACGAGTCAGAGCGGGGAACAGAGCAGGCAGAGTGACGAAAATACACTGCTGAGGGGAGCAGTGGGCGCAGCAAGAGAGGTCTGTTGTGCCATGTGGGACCCTCGCTGGTGGCCGGGGAGGTTTTACTTTTTAGAACAGCTTTACATTTACAGAAAATTGATAATACAGAATTTCCATATACTCACCCACCCCAACAATTTCCTTTTGTTAACATTTTACATTACAACTAGTAAACTAACATGGATACATTATCAAGTCTACAATTTATTCAGATTTCTTTAGTTTTGACTGTGTGTCCTATTCCTGTCCCAGGATCCCATCTGGACACCTCATTACCTTTGGCTGTCATGTCTCCTTAAACTCCTTTTGGCTCTGACAGCTCCAAATATTTCTTGTTTTTGATGATCTTGACAGTTTGGGCAGTACTAGTCAGGCATACTGTGGGATCCTCTCCTGGAATTTTGTCTTATGTTTTCCTCATGATGAGATGGGGATAATGGGTTTTTGGAGAATGTTATATTTTGTAATATGGCAACTTGAAGACAATTTTTAAGATCTTTAAGTAGCTTAAGTCTTGGAATAAATTATGAATTGATGGGTTTATCACTGGATACCCAGATAATTTCTAAAATAAGATATACTTTGATTACTAAGCATAATTCAAAGTATACTTTATTTTTATAAGCTCTAGGGTGGCTGTAACTAAGTTATTTTAGTGTGCACATTCTTTGTTGCCATTTTAAGGAGATCTAAAAAGAATGTGTGTATCACTTTAGAGGCTGTACTGTGTGTTCATGAGCTTTATGAGCCTGAGAAAATGCTGTGCAGCACTGAGAGCAATTCCCTTTCTCCTCAGTTTTGTCTATGAAATCGAAGTTACTTAAACTAAAAGTTCAAATCAATGAGTGGTTGAGACAACTAGTATCAACAGTAACATAAACACAACTGTGTATGAGCTTTTGTTTTTTGATGAACAAGAGTTGTTTGTTGAGTCCTAAAGCAGTGGTTCTCAACCATTTTGGTCTTTGTATCTCTTTATATTCTTCCAATTAAGAACCTGAAATGGCTTTTATTTAGGTGTGGCCTAACTACTAATATTCACTGTATTGTGGCAAGTGAATTTTCAATTTATTTTAATAACTAAGTCTGAAAACAAACTATGCAACATGTTAACATTTTAACAAAGTTTGCCCAGGCTTCCTTGGTTTAGTGATTAACAACTTCACCTACAATATGACAAGTTATCTTTACCTTCTATGTAATCTGCCTTGACACTTGAGATTCTGGGTTTTACGAGAACATTTCTCTCTGCTTTCTGTTGACTCTCTTATGTCCTTGATTAAGTATAGAATAAAACAAACAAAAAACTCTCACATATGAGCTAAGGTTGCTTATAATCATGCTATATGTTTACTTTTAAAGTTCTTTCATTTCTTTTAAATAGGTATGAAATTATTTCTTAGGCACTCACAATCCTATCTTAATCAAGTAACCATATCATGTAACAACTTTTTTGATTTGGCCTTCTCAAAGTCTTTGATTTCCTTAATCAACCACTGAAAACCTGCTATGTGCTAACCTGGGTATAGAAAGAAGAGAAAAACATAATTCCTGCCCATCAGATTAAGTCCAGAGGGGTGACCTGTAGGGAATTACAAACAGTGCAGGACAATGATGATGTACAGTGAAAAAGACTGACTCAAGACACAAAGAGTTCTGGAAGACACAAGGAAAAGACCCATTTTTTTTAAAGATTAATTTATTTATGCATACAAGAACTGGGGTACAGGCCAGAGGTGCGGGAGGTGAGAGGATTCACCAGAGGCAGAGTGGGGAGCAGAATAGGCAGATCTACTGAAATATACTGCTGAGGGGAGCAGTGGGCGAGACAGGCGAGGTCTGTGGGTCACCTCCTTGGCTGGGGATCAAACTCGTGCTGCAATGGCTGCCTACAGCTTCATAATACTGACACTTAACCCCCTGCGCTACCAGGGAGACCCCACAAGGAAAAGACCTATTAATATTCCTGGGAAGGGGAGGGAAGAATAGGCTTAGGAATGTTTCCAGGAGGAAGTGACCTATGAGAAAAAGTCAAGGTGAGAAAGAGTGGGTGGGACAGGTGCTGTAGAATCAAGAAGTTAGGGAAGCAAGGTTCCAAATTATTGAGGTGACACAGTCCAAATTCTCTTAGTGATCATTTCTCCAGTCTTAACCAATCAAATGTTTCAGCTCAGCACAACTGAAGTTCTCAGTGCTTATCTACTGATAAGCTCAGCGACCTGTTCCATCAGAATTTCTTTCCTGGGTCTCCCTGGTGGCACAGGGGTTAAGAAACAACCTATGAAAGCAATCCGCGGCCATTGCAGCAAGAGTTCGGTTCCTGGCCGAGCAGGGAGAAACCCAAATGGCGGGACAGACCTCTCTTGTCTCGCCTGTTACTCCCCTCAGCAGTGTACTTCAGTCTGTCTGCCTGTTGTTTCCCACTCTGTCTCTGGTGAATCCTCTCACCCCCCGCATCTCTGGCCTGCCCAATTCTCGTATAAAATAAAA